CATCTTATATTTTTGCAGAAAATGTGGCTTTACATTCAAAAAATGAAATTTTTATTAATAACAATTTTTAATAGATTTATAGGAGATTGTTTTTAAATTGTCATTTGTTATGGGGTAATGTTTCTAGAAGAGACGGAAAAACAAATTTCAATGCGCCCAATCTATCATTTAAATTATTTGGAGAGAAATATTTTTTACAAGGTAACTTTCTGAGTTTTTACTACTTTATTTAGAGTTGTAAATATGAAAAATGTGGTTAAAAAAAAAATTATAATCAGTCAAGACTCTTGCTAATTACACAAGAGTCCTGGCTTATTATAAAATTTTTATTTTTTTTTATTTATTTAAACTAGAAATATTTCTTTTGTGAAATTATACATTAAGTAATTGACAATGTAATTTTTTTAGTTGAATTTTTTAATAAAAATCTTTAATTCTTATTTAGTATATTTGGAAAACATTTAAAAATTGTTTCTTATGTCTAATAATAAATTTTCAAAGCATTTTCAGCGGCCTTATTAATTATCAGCCAACTATTGTGCCCAATAAGCAGCAATTATTTTTTATATTTTGAAGTCAACTAATTATTTATGAACTAAATTCTTTTTTATGTAGTTAATGCAGTGTCAGTTATATATGCAATTTTATTTGCCAATGACAAACCTTTTTCCTGAAGTATACAACACAAATTGACTTTATTAATATGCTGAGTCTTCAAATGAATCTTCATAAAAATCAAATATCTTGTAAAATATAACTCTAAAATGTTGCAATTCTGTATTACAACTGAATAAATCTTTTAGTTTCAATTGTTTGATGTGTTTAGTAAAGTTGACTATAGCAGATCATTCAATACTAGTTTTAACAATTATGGGTACAAAATGCTGTTTACTATAACAGATAATTTTAAATTGATATGTTTTATAATTTTTATATTTTTAAGCTACATAAAATTTGTGTTGTTTCACTCTATAAAAAACAAAAATCAGTTGGTAAAGTTAACATTTTCAGTTGTGAAGTTTTAATGGTAAAAAAAGTATGCATTACACTCTTATACAGCTTGCAACCCGGACAACACACCTGTTATAGTCTTGCAGAAGTGTTCTTGGGAGCTGTTGTCTAAACTTTCAAAACTATTTAACAAGTGCTTATCAGAGTCTTTTCCAGCATGTTGGGAAGCAGCATCTGTTATCCCTGTTATATATGTGTATATATATATATATATATATATATATATATATATATATATATAAATATATATATATATATATATATATATATATATATATATATATATATATATATATATATATATATATATATATATATATATATATATATATATATATGTATATAGGGGCAGCTAAATTTACATTTGTTTTTGTATATATATATACAGGTTTTGGCTGGAGTAAATGAATGCGAGAACAACAAAAAGCTCTCCTAAAACAAACATGGTGAGCCATGCCAGCTGCTCTCCTAAACAACTTCTAGGAGAGCTTTGGCTCTTTGCAGGAGCTATCTGCTTATGCATTAAAAAATTAATTAATATATACAAAATTTTGGTTTTATACTTGTTACAAGCCCAGGGCACAACAAATCGTTTTCTTTTAATGAACGTTGATATTTGTATCTTTATTTAATGAGGAACATGTAGTTTAAGAAAATAATTAATTTTATTCTAGTTAATAAGTTCTTAGATATGTCAACAATGCTTATTGAATTTAATTAATTTTTATTTCATCAAAACAATTTTTTATTTGCAAAGTGCACGCAAATTAATGATATATAATATGCAATGACAGATTGCAAATTGTAATCCATTGATATTAAATAATGAATTTCTCTCAAGTTAATTTGCTAAATTTGTTTACAAATAAAAAGACGTAAAATTTGAAGAAATAAAAATAAAAGGAGCTAAAAATGAAATAAAAGTTGTTCTGACATCTCTTTTTTAAAACTTTAAAAAAAAATATCATACTAAATATTTAATTATAAGTTAATAAAAACATTATATTATTGGCGTTGTTAATCGCACAATTATTAATAAAAACTATAATAAAATTATAAAATTATAAATTAATTCAAATTTGTTTCAAACATTTAAAAGTTTTTTTGATATGCAAAAAAACATTGCTTCTCTTTGAGGAAAATAAGAAAATTAAAAAAAAGCACGCTATCCAAAAAAGCAATCATAAATTTTAAGCATACTGCAGTTGATAGATTTAATTAATTATAGCAAATTTGCAATTACTTAAAAAGTAATTATTACTTTTATAGTAATTGCATATTTCATTTCAGTTAAAACTTTACATGCTTTTGTTAATGTATGCAAAAACCATATTAAAAAATAATTACTTTCTTTGATAGCATCCTTAGTGTGGGCGAGAGGTGTTTATATATATATATATATATATATATATATATATATATATATATATATATATATATATATATATATATATATATACATATATATATATATATATATATATATATATATATATATATACATATATATATATATATATATATATATATATATATATATATATATATATATATATATATATATATATATATATATATATATGTATATATATATATATTTATATATATATATATATATATATATATATATATATATATATATATATATATACATATATATATATATATATATGTATATATATATATATATATGTATATATATATATATATATTATATATATATGTAAATATATGTATATAAATATATATTGGGGAAAGGGGGGCAACATGGTGAATGGGGCAAGATGGGTTTTCATATAAGAACTCAACAAAAAATCTTAAAATTGGGTGAAAACGAAACTGTATTTGCATCATGTATTTTAAAACACTAATTGGCTTTTTGAATTATTATTAACGCAATTTTATACACATAAGTTTACTTTTAGCGCCTAAAAAAAAATTCCTCACTTTCGGTTTCTCATAATGGATGGTGCCCTTCAAGTATAACTTCTTTGAAAGTAGTTTTTTGCAATTTTTGTTTATTTTTTGACTTATAGTTTTGCAACAACTCAGGGCTTTCAAAACATTTGCCATGTTGCCCCGCTATTCCCTATATATATATGTATATATATATATATATATATATATATATTTATATATATATATATATATATATATATACATATATATATATATATATACATATATATATATATATATATATATATATATATATATATATATATATATATATATATATATATATATATATATATATATATATATATATATATATATATATATATATATATATATATATATATATATATATATATAGGGTAAAACACCTAGTATTCGCCACTTTTCTCTACCCTGCCCCACTAAAATATTTTTTTCTCACTCGTTTTTCAATAAATGATTGATCTTAAATATTTATCGTACAGATGGATAGTTGGGCTATACGCTGTACTTAGAACGAATGACCTCCGATAATTAATAAGGGGGCTCTAGCCCCCCAAAGTTGAAAGTGGCGGACACTGGAACGGTCCCTGTGTTCGCCAGGCAATTTTTTGAACCTGTTCCAGTGTTCGCCACCCTCAGACTTTTTAAAAAATGAGTTCTTTTTTTTAGTTATTTGGTATTAAAAATATATTTAAATAATTGTTGAATAATTTTTTTATGTAATGGAAAATTTTTTTGGTTTCTTCTTTGCCATTTTTGTTGCTGGCAGCAACTTTCTTTTAGCTGGAACACTTGGCTTGTTGCGTTTAGCTAATTCAGCAACTAAGCGCTTCGTTTTTCTCTCCTCTTTTGCTTGTTCTTGTTGTTTTTTTTCAAGCCTTATACCTTCTAGCATCGAGACAACTTTATCTGAAGTCACTACAGATGTGGCATGAAGTTCTTGAGCCACTGTATGAACCTTTCCTATGAAAATTAAAATAATAATCAGGTTATAATAAAGTAAATTTATGACCATAGGCTACATGTGGTAATTTTACAGAGATTAAAAATGGAAATTATAATAATAAATTTAAAATATAGGTAGCCTAGTTAATACACTAACCGATAGATTTTTTTGGAGAAAAGAACCACTTATGATTTTTAAGAGCAGGACTAATCGCAGGTGGTCTTGCTTGTCTTTGAGGTTCTACCAACATAGGCCTAGTCCTGTTTGGAGGGGCTGACATTGAGGAACACTGTGCATCTGAACTAGAATGAATACTAGGTGAATGAACAGGGGAAACAACAAGGGAATCAACAGCTGCTGCATCCTCTTGCCGATGATTTCGATCAAAGACATATTGGAACCAATTTTGCCTCTTCACCATTCTGAGTGAATCAAATCGTGGCGAATCGATGACAAAGTCATCAAATGATTTTGTTATCCTGTAATATAAATAAGAATTGTTTTATAATAGTTACTAACTTTTATTACCCTTTAATATAGATAAAAATTAGTTTATAATTGTTACTAACTTTTAATACCCTGTAATAGCTATAAATAAAAAATTAGTTTATAATAGCTACTAACTAGCTAGCTGGGCTTATTATTTTATATTGATACAAATGTTAGACACTAATACCTAGCTATCACTTACAGGTGAATGTTTGGGCCTGCTCCCAGTCTTTCCATCGTGCTAGTACTTGTGTTACCAGACAAGATGATGTCAGAGGATGTCTGTGTCGCAACATTGACATGAAAAAAATTTTCAACTTGAGTGGAAGCTTTAACACGACCGTCTTGAAGCACTCCTTCAAATATTCGACTGTCTCCGGAGTGGGCTTCTTCAAGAGTGAGCTTGGTATAATCAGGAGCGTCTTGATCAAATGGCTGTATGCCACATTTTTTAAAGGATTTTACTATTTTCTCTCTACTCATGACCCTTGTGTACTCTGGCAGGAACATTCCTGCATAGGACTCTTTGGTAACGTATTCATTTGGGTTGGCAGCCCTGAACCTATTCACACACTTAGCCCATTCATTTTTCATAGGGCCAAATAATCCTACGTCCAAAGGCTGCATGAAATGGGTACAGTTTGGTGGGATCAATATAAGCATTATTTGCAGGTCTGCTAAGGTTTTAACTAAATGAAATTGCAGCCTCGATTCATGTTTGTTGGACCAAACTATAACTGGTCTTTGTATATTATGTTAAGTTAACCATTGGTCAAATGCATTAGTGAGATACTCATAAAGCACCTGATGGTTAATATATCCCGATTCACTTTTTCCGATTGCAAATAAACTGGATGGAATGGCTTCGTATACATTCATAGGAATACGAAGGTTAGGATAAATTATAAGCGGTGGAGGGAGAGAGCCATCGGCACCAACGTTAGCTGCAAAGAAAAGTGCAAAAAAACCAAAAGTTAGCAAGCAGGCCAAGCTAGTATCATGCTAAGCTATCATGCTCAGAGATATGTTGAAAAAAAAGCAATTTATAGTGCAGCATTAAAAGAAAAGCATTACAGAAATAACATAAAAATGAGCAAAGAATAAAATGAAAATGTACCTAGAACAGCGATTCTTTCCTTTTCTTTTGAAGATGTCGCATACGGTACATTTTTAGAACCCTTAGCAGCTAAAACTTTGGAAACCTTGGGTGAAAACTGGAACCCTGACTCGTCGATGTTATAGTTACGCTGGGGTTCCTGAAAGATTTCAAGAAGGTCATGTTCAGAGAGGTACGATCTTATATCAGCAAACCATTGTTGTATGACAGCTTGTGATACATTTCTTCTATTCGCACTTAATGATTCAGTCATGCGAGCAACTATGTTAGGATGCCTCGACAGGAATAGCTTATACCTTAGAAAATAATGGCTAAATTAGTCGACTAGGTATGGGCTATTTCTATTAGACTAATTTTATGTCTGTACCAATTGTTATAAGCTTTATTTATTAAGCTACAAATGTTTTATAAAGTTAATTTGTAATGAAAAATCTTATGACTCGTTATTAAAATTATAACATTTTTTTTTATTTTAATTACCTATAGGTCAACTTTTATAACTTAGGCACAACCTACTTACCATTTATTCCCTGGCTGTCGAGTCCCTGATCTTCCAAATTGAAAGGGACGGTTTCTATTTACTTCCATAAGTAACCTTTCATCCGAAAGAAGACTAGTTACCAATGACATAATGGTTTCTTTGGTAACAGGGTGGGCACGTTTCTGTGCGCTAACAATAAAATTCACCAAAACATTTTCTTCTGCTTCAGTGAGCTAGGTTTGTGGGCCCATCTTTTTTACAACAGGCGCTTTACCACTTATTTTCTCCATCAATGTGGTGCGCGGGATATTGTACAACTTGGATGCCTCTGAAGCAGTTCTTTCACCACTGAAATATAGCACAGTATAATTTAGGTATGCAACTACTTTATCAGTACTAGGCAGCCCTACCTATGTATTTCTTTTAAATGTATTATAGGCATTAGGCTATTATGACTACACAATAAGCAATTTAAGCATTGAAATTATGTCTATTAATGCATGCTAATTTTATTACCTTTTTACTTCTTCAATTGCCTTTCTAATGTCCTCCTCAGTGTAAGAATCTCTTGTAGACATACGTGAACCCTTATTGGACTTTGATTTACTAGTATTCATAATTCTAAATGGATATTATGTACCTAGGTACTTATTGAAACTATTTATTATAAGTCTTAACTTGATATATAAATTAATTTAATATAGTTATATAGCTCTATTTGGACTGCTTTAGTATTGTTTAATAACTAGGTTAACAGATAACCTACTTCTGAAATAAAAAATAAATACTTAGCTATATTTATACATTTAATAAAAAATAAAAAATAATAATTTGTTCCCGATGGCGAACACTGGCCAAAGGAGGGTGGCGAACACTGGACAAATTTAAAACGCCTATAACTTTTTTGTTTTTAAACGAAATTCAACCTAACGAAGACTGGCATATGGGTCAAAGTCCATATTTTACCATTAAGCCCATATACGCCACTTTAAAGAAAAAAAATTTACCTGGCCAAGACTGGACTAGGTACTATTATGTGTTCCAGTCTTCGCCACCCCCCCTAACCCTGCCCCCCTTAATTTTTTTCCAAGAATAGCCCTGGTACAATCTTCTCCTTGTTCTTCCCATCAATCTGGAATAAAAAAAGTGAAATTGAATTGATATTTAATGTTTTTTATGTAGTTGTTTAAAAAGATTTCTGAAAAAAAATTTTAAGGATTAAGGTTTTTTTGTGACACACTTTCATTCAAAAAAATCCTGAGAGTTTATTTATTTAGTTACGATCGTCAAACTTTCGTCAAATATAAAGCAATGATGGGCGTTCATTCTAGACACTATTTCGGCACTTTCAACCAAATAGTTTTTGACATGCATGTTTTTTAATGGAAAACTGGCGACGACTGGAACACCTGGCGAACACTGGGTGTTTTACCCTATATATATATATATATATATATATATATATATATATATATATATATATATATATATATATATATATATATATATATATATATATATATATATATATATATATATATATATATATATATATATATATATATATATATATATATATATATATATATATATATATTTATAACTCTTAAAGTGGTTGCTCACAGCCTTGTTGGAAGCAAAGATGTAAAAAAAAAATTCAAAAAAAAAATTCAAAACTCAACAATAAAAATGAATAATATATTAAAGTAAATAATGTATTAAATATATAATTTATTACCTAAAATAAAAATTAATATGCAATAATCTAAACTAATTTTACATTTTATTAGTTAAATAAATTTTTATTTTGTCAATATAATTTAGAGTGTAACAGTTTCATATTTATCAGTTAGTCCAATTTAAATCTAATTTAAAATATTTGTATTTCAATAAGCACTCTTTTTCAATTCTTTTTTTTTTTTAAATCCTCAGAAATAGGTAAAATGAGGTTGCCCTCAATCTTTTAGAGGTTGGTATAAGGTTCACAAAAAAAGTTTGATATAAAAGTATAACCATGAAACATTGAAACTATGTTAGCAATTTTTTGCTGACCTCAAACACTTTGAGGTTGGAAGTTAGGTTTGCATTGTCAAATGCCGACTTAATTCCAAAGGATGTATATATATTAGGGTGTTTCAAAAAAAAGGTCATGTCTCCAAAAAAAAGAGCCCTAGCATATCATCTGCCCAAATCATGATTTGGTACTAAAAATTTTTTAATTTTTTTATTTTTGAAAATCGTAAGGGTTCCTTCAGGGGGTAAATAGGGAAATTTTTAGGGCGTTTTGCACCATTTTTAAAACTGTTTAAAGTTTTGACATTAAAATTTTTCATTTTTTTTTAATATTTATGCTTGTTAAGATTTATTTAATCTAAATAAAATGCTCAACTCTCAACAAAAAATTAAAAAAAACTGTTTCAAAAAACCCTAAAATCCATAAATATTAAGGAAAGCTCATAAAAATACAAAATATTCTTAAAATTTTCTTGAAACACATAAAAGTACATTATTTTTTTCTTTATTTTTGATACAATACAATATTGATTTCTCACTTAAAATCAGCTTCAGGAACTACTCTGGTAAATATATAAAAGAGAGGGCCTGGACAGGGAAAGAAGGTACTAAAAAAAAAAAAAAATTAAATTATAAAAAATTTCATTTCAATAGTAAAGTTTCATTTAAATTAAAATACAGCAAATCCAGTAAATTTATGAATTTTTTTATTCTTTTCTCAAAGAAGTGATATTAACAAAAAAAAAAAAGAAACTATACTACATTTATATTTGTACTAGTGGCTTTTTTGTAATCCATTTTATTCTTACCGTTGCTGTTTTTCTTGTAACTATTTGTAAAGAGAAAGGTATCCTGCCTTTTTTCCTCAGAATATGCTCTATTTATGTGGTCTTGAACTAACTTAATACATAAAGTCCCTTAACTGTTGAATTTCCAAAATAAAAATCGTTGAATTTCCAAAATTCTTGTGGAATCTTCATCCATTGAATTTCTGCCTTTCCATGCCTGAGCATGCCAAAAACAAATGAATAAAGCCATACCAATTTTTTTTTCTTTATGTTTTTCAGTCATGTTTTGGATTTCATTCATTAAAAGATTTTTAGTAGTATAAACCTTTTCTCATAAATCTTAAATGGTGAACTGGTTCTTGTGTATGAAATTCAAATCTATTTGATGATAGAACCATTAAAGTAAGTTCAGATTATATATCCATGTTCCAGGTGGTTCTTTTCAGTTCTTTAGTTTCAGCATGGATTCCAGTTTTGTTTTAGAACTTCGAATAGTTTCTTTTGTTGGTTTTAGTTGGTTGAACTTGTTGAACTTGTTGAATTATTCTCATGCAAGTACCTTGCCATTTTTCTGTATTTACTGAAGTTGTGTCAAAACAGAGACATTTAACCTTATGTTTTAATCCAAAAAATTTCATCGATTCTACAATAGCTTGCTTTTGATTAACCCCTGATCAAGAATCTATCGGAGGAATGCCAAGTAGTTCTGTTTTCACATCAATCTTTACCAAAACTGCAATTCTATCTTTTTTAAATTGCTTTCCCCATTGTTAATTGATTAACAATTTTTACATCAAAGTGTATAGTCATTAGTGAATCTGCTGCTATTACAGTATTTTTTATGAGTTCTTTTATTTCTTTAGCCCTGACAGATATTATTTTTTCTGCAGTTCTATAAGATGTGGATTTAGAACAATTAAAGTTTGCTACAGAACCACCAGCCATGACAATAACACTTGTAATCAATGCTGTATGAGCAGTTGACTGAAGAATATTTTTAGGTAGAAGAACAGAATTTTGAATATTAAAATGCATATTAAAATCGAAGTCAACATCTGTTTCCTTGTCTAATTTGTTGCTAGTGTAACTAGTAGAACTTTGATTATCTAATTCATTCTTATATAATTCTGCTGATGGATTTCTATTTAACTTTGATGTGCATCTTTTACTTGTTACTACAGAACACTCATATCTTTTATCTCTATCTCCAAGACATTCTTTTTTTTCACTAAGCTGGTCTTTTAAGACAGCCATATTTTCCTCTTTGTCTTTCACTTTCTCATTATAATAATATAATCTTTCTCATTATAATGATATAATCAATATTTCTTCAAACATAACATGAGGATGTTCTCCAATCCAAAATACCTTATTCATTTTCTCTTCAAACAAATGTCTTTTTTTTTATTTCAGTAGGATTTGTTCTGTTTCTTTGATCTTTTAATTTCATCCATATTATTTAGAATTTATTGAAAATATTACTTTAACTTTTGTATTGTAAATACTTTAAATCCACCAAGTATCCAAGAAACCATTAGTTTGGACAGTATACAGCAGTTGGACTGATTAGCTGGACATTTGGGTATAAAAAAAGTACTTTTGTTAGGACAACCTACTAAGAACTTTACTTTTTCTTCACAATTTGATTTTTGTAAAAAGAGATAATATTTAATAATTTCTTTAGCAGTTTCAAATTTTTTTGCTGGAAGTTGTTCTATTAACTTTTTATTTAAAAATATTCTATCCCATCCAATACTTCTAACTTTTTTTTTTGTGGCATTATATTAATTATTTAAGCATATAATCTAAAAAAAAATAATATAAAATATGTTTCAAGAAAACATTTTAATCACTAAAAAATTTAAAACTTTATTCATAAAAATATTTAAAAAATTTACAGTGTAAAAATATTTTTATTTAATATTTATGGATTTAGGGTTTTTGAAACAATCTTTTTGAGTTTTTAATTTATTTTTGAGAATAGACTCCATTTTAATTAGAATAAGTCTTCACAAACATAAATATAAAATTAAAATCAAAAACTTTAATGTCTAGACTTCCTCCAAACAGCTTTAAAAATAGTACAAAATGCTTTAAAACAAAATGCTTTATTATGTGTATATATATATATATATATATATATATATATATATATATATATATATATATATATATATATATATATATATATATATATAAATATATATATATATATATATATATATATATATATATATATATATATATATATATATATATATATATATATATATATATATTGTCTGATGAGTCTTTATTGATAAAACACAGTGTTAAATGTGAAAAAAATTTTGCTAAGTGATTTTCTACTAATTTGTAATTGCTCTATTCTTTTAAGAACATTGAGCACTCTTTTTGTAGAATACATTTTAAATTGTTTA